TGAGAATGATATAAAATATTAATAATAATAATATTACAAACATAATAAATATGGAAGATAGTAAAAAAAATGTGAAAAGAAAACACATTAAAATAAATATAGGATTAAACGTAAAGTGTAAAACCATAAGTATGTAATACATCATGTGTGTGTGTGTGTGTGTGTGCGTGGGCGCGCGCGTGCGGTAAAATAAACAATAATAATAATAATAATAATAAATAATAATACAGAATTAAGGGATATAATAATAATAATAATAGGATGAACGTTTGTGGTCACTTAAGCCTGAATAGCGCAATTGAGTGGTATAAACTGTAAATTATAAAAAATTGCAAAGTTTACTCTAAAACACGAGTTGTGTTGATTAAAAAAACTCACTTTCGTGAATGTTTTCCAAAATTGCATTTCTATAAGAAAGAAAAAAATCATTCGATTCTGTTCTAATCTTTCGGATAAAATGGAAATTGTAACGTTGTGCGCAGAGTAAGTATAATTAACATTTGAAAGACTATAAATGATCAAAAAACTTATAATTTAATCAATAATCGATATAATTATTCTATAAAAATAATTACAATTTCTGACTTTAACTCATACCGAGTTAAAAAATTAAGTTTTATCAATTTTTCGAAACTCGCTTTTTTTTCACAGGAACTTAAATTGTTTATACGACAAAAGAAACAATATCTTAGTATCTTTTGATACTCATTTTATGAGAAAATTTATAACAGATATGGTTTTATCATGAAAACTAATATCTACGAAATTATTATTTTTATTATTTGATTATAATTTGTACATACAATGGATGCTTAATGAACATTCGTTTTTGATGTTATTTACTTCTCTTATAGGAAATATATCGATTACACGTACGTGGAGTCATCAATAATCGTGTAAAGAGGAGGCTAAACATTTTATTCTCTCTCTCTCTCTCTCTCTCTCTCTCTCTCTCTCTCTCTCTCACTCTCTCTGCGATTATTATTTATTATTTTAAAAAAAGATATTTTAAGTACATATACACACTGAGAGGAAACGCAATAGTTGTGACAACAATAAATTTGGCAACATTTATTGGCAATTATAGTAATTAGTTTTATAGAGTATAATAGCTACTAATCTAGTAGGGGAGACCGGGGACAAAAGTAACATTTTTACTTTGAAATGTTATAACAGTTAAAATATAATATTTACATTTAAAAAAGTATATACCTTTAGATGTAGAATTTATTTAGCTACAAAATTTTCTTTGATTCAATTTTTCAATGTAATTAGAACCAAAGTTATGTTTGTTTAAAGACTATGAGGAATTTTATTACAACCGTCCCAACCCCTGGAACGATTGTAACAGTAGAGAGGGACAATTGTACCATACTATTTATAAATAAAATAATGATCATTTTATTGGTTTTATTAATAAAAATACATAATAAAGGAAGGCTCAAATAATTCAAATAAAACAAAATAAATCAGAAGAACTACGAGTCAAAACAAAACAAATTTTAATGTACATATGATACAGTTGACATTAAGTAAAATAAAAGCAAAAACAAAATAAAAATATGTCTACATCGAACTAAAAATATGTCCTACATCAACTATATCAATGGTTCGACCACCTTCATTTTCAAAGTTATAAACAAGTATGTATATGAAAGCGGTTGATTACAATAGATTAATATAGATCACTAATTATAGAAGTATAATGAAAATTATTAAAAATAGACCTTCGTTGTTCAGGCCTGATTTCAGTTATATGTAGTCGACGGAAGGTAGATGCATTTACGCCAAACATTCAAATATCGCTGAGTATCCAACAATGAATAGATATAGTTGTCAAAAAATAAATCCTGGATATACGCCATGGTTCGATTACAAAAAGTATTCGCCAAATATAAAAAAGTCGCTGATAATGCTATTAAGTAACAGTCCTTACAAAATCCAGATTCTACAGTAAAAAATTGAATAACTGACTCCAGGTCGATGTTACTATTGTCCCCTAATGGTATTTTATGAGTCATAGTAAATTTTTAAAATAAAAAGCTAGACAAAAATTAACTCAAATGTGAAAAATATCAACACAGATAATCATTAAAATATATTAAAATAATACATTATATCTTTGTTATAAAGAAAAAAAAATATTTTGAATTTTG